GGCCATTTGGAAGGGAGAAACGATCCTCCATGGGGGTGGGGGGGGGGGGTGAACATGTGACAGGAAGTGTGACCCGCCATGCTTGGGAGCAGGAAGCTGATGTTTTCGCTCACACACGCACACATTGACCTCACGTCCAGTCAACAAATCCCCTCACCCCCCGTTTCCTGAGTGGTATGCTACGACTGTGATTTACCTCAATGACTGACAGTGTCCACAAAATGGCCGCCAGTGCATGTGGCTTTCACACAGAACACAGCCGATTAAGTGTACGCTGTGACTGTGCCCTTTAACATGATAATGACATGTCAGTGGGGGAGGGGCTTTTAAAGGCAGTGTGAAAGGGGCCGGAAATGGTCAACAGTAGCCGTGGCATCTGTAAAGCTCACCTGTGCAACAAACAACTATGCTGGACGATTCTTGAGCATAGCATACTAAACAGCTCACACGTTGTAATATTTAATATACAAAAACACATTTGTGTGTGAAACTACGCCGCAAAGTATATGCCTTGACCACAATAAGGGCAGACATGGCAACTGTAAAGCTGATTTTTTTAAAGAAAAATATTAAAGACAAAACGCCTGATCGTTGCAAGTCAAAGCAAGCTAAACATTTCCACCATATATTTAGTGAGTTAATGCATTTGCACAGATTAAGTCCTCACCAACAGTAAACATCTTACATTCAAGGTCGCCGTCTGCTTTCTGCAGTTGAGAAACTAAGTCCACTCTATACATTACTTAATATACCCCCCCAAAAAATTATCAACACTTTGACACCACATTACATAATTTGCAGATCTTGTGCAAATAAGACTCACCCCAGTTCACGCCTCACACCAAACGACACCGTGTCATTGCATCAAGCATCAAGGAAATGCGCAATAGAATATTGAATACACCAATAAAAAAAACAGACATACACACATTATACACACACACACACACACAAACACCCGTGAGACAGCCATTAAACAACTACAGTCAAACCTCTTTTCAACGTACCCCTTTTACGTTTTCACCCCTATAATGTACCCATTTCAAAGTCCCTATTTCACGTAGTTCATTTTCCATTTGCCGATATTGCTTACAACGAATACATGAATAACGTAAACTTCATTACAATGACCAGATTTCCCCCACAAAATGGTGAAAAGGCGTTTGTTACGATGAACTAACTGCCGCCTATACCTTGCTTATGAATAAAATGTACAGCGCGGGATTCCCCGCTTAGCAACGTTACTGATCGACTCGTATGTCGTCGTATTTCCAGAGGCACGGCACAGTCCTGAGCGCATGCTTTTAAAACATGTCTGGTAAACAGAAGCAAATGTCGCTGTCTGTGAAGGCTGAAATTGTATTTTTAAAAAGGCCTCTCCCCTCGTAAACGTCTTACCCCAAAATGTATGCTAAGCAGGCACCAGTGGAGTAGCAAGCCCAACTGAAGAATATGAGGTACGCAACAAACGTGAATATAAAAGATCAAAATGGGATTTGCAAGACATTTGTAAAAATAAAGACCAAATCCCTTGTAAATGTCTCACACCGATGCTAGGCACTCTCTACAATTGAGCAAATGAACACATCCACTCACGATGAGTAAATTCTAAACATTATTATGACAATAAAGACACGTACAAATAAAAGCCTCTTCCCGAGCATACCACTTGTCTCCACCAGGTGCCCGACTCTCTCTGCAGTTTAGTGGATAGCTGGCTGCAATGCAGAACACGTGAATCAAAAATAGCCCTCAAATAACCCCCTCCCCCACAGCATTGTGACGTAATCACCAGGTCGCCCGAGCATGTCGTCATGGTGCCTCAGTGACGTCATTTGCACGACTGGCGCTAAACAAAAACACAGAGGCAAGAGGAGTGGGTAGCAGCAACGGGCGTCAAAAGCGTGCCCACATTGCAAATGGCGTCCGTTCCGGTTATTTTAAGTGTGTGTGTGTGTGTGTGTGTGTGTGTGTGTGTGTGTGTGTGTGTGTGTGTGTGTACGCACTGGCGCGCGCGGGGAAACAGACACAAGTCGCGCCACGTTCAACTCTCTGGGGCGAGCCTTTATCACCAATTCCGACCTTCGATGGATGGTCGAACGCACCCGCCCGAAACCAACTTGGTTGGTCCAAAAACTTTAAAACTGTGCAAACTCATCCTCACTGAGGGGGGTTATCCCAACTTGTGTGTGTGCGTGGGTCCACCGAGAAACGTGGTCAAACTGCGCCATTGTGGGCAACCGCGCACAATAACCGAGGTTTGCGACGTCACAAGACGCCATCTACCCGCGTGAAAAGGGCTCAAATGGAGCAAAACCTAACCCGAAGGTGGGATTCAAATGCCATTTCGGGGTCTACCTGATTTAATTGAGAAGTTCGCCGCCAACCATGGCGCAATCAGGCTGCGATGGCACCGAGCCTCCGGTAGGGGCGCCCTTCCACAGCACCACGGCCACCCCCCACCGCCGGCGTTACGTATCACATGAACCGGGATTCGATTGTGTCATGCGGCGGTAAACAAGCGACGCCAGCCACCGTATCGTTCATGATTTTTTAGGAAGACGAAGGCAATATCCATCAACATAACAAGAGCCCTCCCTCCCCCTCGTTACACCATTACCACCGTCGCCACCCAGTGGGAAACTAGTGCCTAGCGTCCGCCATTAGGGCTCCCAAATGAACAATACTGGGGACACACATCGTTCACATTCAACTCTTTAACGTGTCTCCTCGTCGCCTGTGTCAAGACACGCGGGCGGCCGGAGGTAAGGGGAGGCCCAGCGAGGCCAAGCGACGACAAAAAAAGTTGTCCAAACTTTCCACTTTGGGGGCTTTGAGAAGCAATATACGAAAAGTGAGAGGGAATTTGAAAGAGACGAGGGTGTTTCTTACCGGAGTACAGCTCGACACGGTGTAGCGCCACTTTTGTGCCTTGACATTAATCCCGGAAGGCGCATGCGTACTACGCAACACCAACCAATTCCACGCTCTGAGATTGTCGGCGAGGCAGACGCCTCACTCACGACCCATTTAGTGGTCGGGAGGTTTCACGTGACGTGCAAACGCGAGTCTCCAACGCGTTTAGTATCAAATGGATGCTATCAAACTACTTCCACCACTGAAACACTATGACGACGTTGTTTTGTCGGGAAACGCAATTAAAAACTCAAAACGACCGTCCATTCTTCATTCACCTTCTCGCAAACAAAAAAAGTGCGGCAGCCATTTTGAACGGACACGGAAGATTGACGCCTTTAATTTTTAAAGGCGGACTCACACTAAATTACTTGACGGATTAAAATTCAAGACATTATGAACCCAATATAAAGGAAACTGCGACGCTTAAAAGACGAAATAACGACACAAATCTAACCCGGAAGTGCCTTGCGAAAACTTTGGGAAATCCAAGCAGAGTGGGAGCTCTTGATTTCCGTCCCCGAGCCACACTCCAATCATCCAATATCCCCCACTCCTCCCTTCCTCCTTCAGGTCCTGCGCGTGCGCATACCGTGTCACCGAACTGGCAATTAAATTGGCCCCATTAGGAAGCTTTAACCTTGGCCCGAGTGAGCACATCTGCCGTTTAACCTCACATTTGAACGCTGTCGACGTCGACGCTAGAGTCGAACCTATCGCAGTGCTCGGAGTTCAGGATCCGGGGTGACAGAGTTTACCATCCATTCTGGGAATTAAAAACAAAAACATCTGGCCAGAGTGGACGACAGCACGCGTTCGGTTATAGTGAGGTGACGGTAAATAAATACGAACAAACTTTGTGTTTAAGTGTGACGAGGGGTGCGTTCAAGTGCACAACATGGCCGCACCTGGTGGCTTCAAGTGATCGAATCGGGAGAGCGTCGCGTGACCGACATTTCCATGGCGTCAGTGAAGGCAGCGGGGAGGGCTGACTTTGCTCAAGGAGGCTTTTGTGTTCCCACCCCGCATGATTTTCAGCAAAAACATTCTCTCTTTTGCTCCGGCGCTTGTTCAACAAAAATAAATCATGACTGTGATTGAATAATGTTTCCTTTAAATAGTTAGTTTTGGGAGGCCGAATCATGTCAAGCTAATGACACGGCTGCAAGTAAGGGCCTTTCTGTCCAACGTACGTATAACACCCCCCTTAAAAAAACTTTACTTTTAGAGGAGACCCCCAAAAACCTTTATGAAGGGGAAAAAGAAAGGGTGGCGATCTGACTCGACCACTTGGGCTAAGAAAGGGAGGATGAACAAAATCAACAGTCTTTCGAAAAGGTATGAGTAAAAAAACAAAACGGCTAAAAAAACATTAAAAAGGAAGTTATCCGAAAAATAAAAAGCAAGCTCCAACAGAAGTGCTATCCAACAAACCCTACAGTATGTGTGTGTTTTTGTTTTACTTGAAATACAGTTTTTGCTTTCTGGGGGACCGCTCAAATTCAGTTAAGTCAAGTAACCCCCCACTTCCCGCAAATGTTTAAAAGTTTTTATTCATATTTTTGTGTCCAGAATCCTTTCTAATGAGCCAAAGCAAAATAAAGGCAGATTATACCTTTAAAAGGAAAAGGGTGACAAAAAATAAACTTGAGAAAGTGATGATTCAAAAAACAAATAACATCACACAAAATGTAAAAAGTGGTCAGAAATAAGAAAAAAACAACAGAACCTCCTAAAAACGGGAATGATCAATAACAAAAAGTTAAAAAAAAATTAATTCCTCAGAGGAACTGGTCCAAAAAAACTATAGCCAAAAATAAATGTCAAAAGTAATAGTATTCACTAAAACAAAAACATTTTTTACTTTTAAAAGCAAATGGTTAAAATCAAAACAAATAAACAAATGAAAACTCAAAAGGAAGCAGCCTTTTTTAACTTGTCTATTGTTTATTGACAAATCATTGAATTATTATTGATGAAAAAAGAACAATTCAGCAATATTACACAAGAGGGATTGATGTAACGCTCACCGACCCTTCTAAAACATATTCAGTAACTGGTTTGGTCATTGTTTTGATGTCATGTCTTATTTTGATGAAACAAAATATAAGTTCAACAAAAGCCTATGAACTCTAACTTGATCAAGTGATTACTTCTCAATTAATTTTGATACCTCTAAAGTGTAGTAACACATTTAAAGGATTACAAAAAAAGTAGCACCATTTTATTTTTTATAGTTCATGGAAAAATATGATTAAACATTTTTATTGTTAGAAATGATGACCATTCGTTGTCTTCTCTTTGCTGTTAGACTTGAATGATGAGCTGGATAACACCAGGATAACAATACAACAAAAAAATAAAAATAAAAAATACACAGTCCCCATGGGGGAGGTAATACATGATGTGTCACTGGAGCTGGACTCTGTAGGCACATATGAGGAGCTTCACCTGAGGAAAAGCAAACATCAGCACAATCACAAGGTATGAAAAGCTTACTGAGATAAGTAAAAAACTAATATGCTAACAGTTGTGATGCTAACAACATTCATGCTAACGTGCTAAAAGCCTTCTCTGCTCAATGTAATGCCAAAATGCTAATAGTTATCAGACTAACAACTGGTGTGGGCCTCACAATATAAATTCCATAAACATTTTGTGTGTTAATAGACAGACGCTAGAGCGTTAAGCTAACAGCCTGCATAGAGCTCATAATATAAATCCTGCAAACACTTTGTACCCCAAGAGACGTACATTATTGTGCTAACTGAGCCAGGTTGGACACCAACATGCTAACCGTTAGTCTACGAACAACCTGCGTCCAATCAAAATGTCACCCCCAGAACATCTCAGGCCTCACTGTAGAAGCACTACAAACTAATTGAGCTAACTCAAAGGGTAGGATGCGAACAGCTGGTCACCTTGGCTGAGGGCGCCTCCGCCAGTCGAATGAAAAGTTTGTTGTTTCCCACCACGGGACTGAAGGAGTAGATGAAGTGACTGTCCTGTTTCAACACAACAAAATGGCCTCAAGTCAACATCGCCACACAAAATGGCTGACTGCAGTATCGGTACTGAACACACCAGGAAGACGGGCAGCTGGAACTTGTCGTTGAGCACCACGGCCTGTACACCGCACGGGCCGCCTAAACGGGCTGTAATCTCGTTGCGGAAATTGGCGTGGAAGATGAAGAGGAGGATGCCCATGCCTGCAGAGGAAGGATACAATGCTAACAGTAAGTTCTAAAGTGAAAATGCAGATGGAACAACGAGCTGACATATGCTAACATATAGCAAGATAGCGACCACAAGACAGAAAGCATAACGCAGCTCGGTAAGTGTTTTCCATCTTGCCCAGTAGTTTGGTGCTCTTTGGAATGAAAATAGAAACATGATAATATCCTAATATTTTTGACACGAAAATGCTAACAAACTAACCGTTGGTATGCTCACATCTAGTCAGATAACAACGAGAGAACAAAAATGTATGACGGTAGATTGGTCAGGATTCCACATCTTACCCCATAGTCTGTTGCTATTAGGAATGAGAATTTATCAAACGCTCACATTCGTTGTTGCTAAAAAGCTAACATAGAGCAAGACTGCACCGCATAGGTTGCCAATGAAAGAACACAGTGATTGTGGGCTTGTGGGTGAAAACGATTAGCTCTATGTTTCTGCCTAGCAACAAGTGACTAATGGTGTTATTTTTACCCTCTGTTTGAGGCTGAGGCTTATAGGTAAACTCAGTGGCGAAGTCGGGCCACTCGCACAGCCGGTGAATAGCCAGCGGGAACACGGGCTCCAGGAGAACTAGGCGGTTCTCAAAGTACAACCGTGCAGTTTCCTCGGCCACGCTGGACAGCCTGTTAAGAGTGATCATTTTTTTAGAAGAGTCACACGCTGCTTCATGAGGTCCCGAAAGAGACTCACATGCTGGTGTGATTGCTGATAAGGTCGCACACGGCCAAGTAGTTGTTCTGCTTGGCCAAGTACAAAGCGGTCGTTTTGTGCTTGGATTGGATGTTGCAGTCGGCGCCCTTCTCCAGTAGGAGGCGCACAATGTCGGCGTTGCCCCGCTTGCATGCCTGGTGGGTGGGCAACAAAGACACTGGTCAAACAAACCCAAGATCATTTCAACCGTGTTGAGGATGCCTACTTCTGACTGGGAATCAGTTGGACTAATTCCCCAGTAGGAGCCGAAAATGGCTGTTTCAAAACAAAACGGCTGACTTTCTGTTCAAATTCGGGCTTGGGTTCTTAAGACTTTTTCGTGCATCCTAAAAAAATAGACACCCGAGAAGTCCGATAAGACAAATAAGTGGTAAAATGGATCCTCACCTTCATTAATGCCGTTTCGCCAATTTTTGTTTGCGCGTTGACATACGAGCCCGCTTCCAGGAGGATGGCCACGGTCGTCACGAAATTCTGAAAAAGCAGAAATGGAGGAACAAAAAAAAAGATTAAACGCTAAGCCTTGTGATGGTCAGATGAGGTGAAATCCCATTTTTGTCACCTTCTCGGCAGCGTGCATCAAGGCCGTGGTGCCGTTATGCTGTCGACTATTCACTCGGACGCCCTTCCTGATCAGCAAACGCAGGATGTCGTCTTGACCACCTGCCGCTGCCAGCATGCTTAGTGACATCCCGCTGACATCCTGGTATCACGATACCATATTAGGAAAACACAGTCACTAGTCTGACGAAGATGGCAACAACTTCTGCATTTGATATTGAGATGATATCATACCAGAGAACGGCGCTCAAATTTGAATCCTAGATGGCTTTACGTGTCCCTGAACATGTTTTTTTTTTTTTTTATCCATTTCATCGCAATGATGCCCTTTTCATTTTCAAGTTTCACATACTTGGTTTTCATTCAATATATCCATATCAATGTGTTGATTGGCGGACAGAGAATTGCCACATCCGCAAATGTGAAGACAAAAGCAACAACAAAACAGGGTCGGGGGACTGTCAAGACAAGAAACGTTTTATTGTACAAGCACAGGTTCTAAGTTCCTCACGAGACATCATCCAAGGCCTAAACTGGGGCCAACATATACAAACATTGAAAAAAAGTACTCGCTTTTTGCTGGGTATTACCATCAACGTTGGAAGAACATATTGAAATTGGCTCGGCAATATTGGAGGCTTTTAAGTGATTTTCCCCACGCTAAATACAGTAAAAACTACATCAGGATATAATGGAAGAGATCTGTAACACACTTGTTGTGGATGAACAAATGGAGATCGGGAAGGTTTTCATTCCTAGAGGACAAATGTATCCACTGTATTGTAATTTTTGTGAGGTTTGGTTGTGTGCTGGATGCAGCCAAATATCGGAGGGTCAAAGCCAGATCTGGGAAAGACATGCCGGACTCAAGTTTGGATGAGATCCAAGGGCTACATTGACAAACCGAATATGTACAAACAAAGGTGGGGGCAAAATGTCCGCCGCCAACCTTCACATGGTTCAATTTTCCAAACGTAATGACACCACTGCGGTCGCGCGGACCACTCCAAGTAGAAATAAGTTGTGCGATCGTCGTGAGTAGGAAAGTGCAAAAGACAGAAAGTGTCCAAATTTTGGGATCATGTCAGACTTGCAAAGGAAGGTCAAGTGAAATGTGTACCACCACAGCACATCTACAACCGGCCACACAAAGAAACGTATCTATGTTAGCTAATTTGACAGAGCGGACAATTACACGTTCGAAGATCTTGCCAAGCCACCGCAAGTGATGGAGGACAAGCGCCGGCCGGTGCGCTTTCAATGCAAGTGAATGCAAAAATCAACTTTGATCTAAGTACTCGATTAATCGATGGGACTCGATTCCAAAAAGATGAGATAGTGTTCATACTTGAGAAACCACATCAAGGAACCACTCGAGGGGAACCCGGGGGAAAAAAAAATATGGTGAGGTTTGGCTGGAAATTTTTGGAAATCAAATGTTACAACCACTGTTGTATTGTTTCACTCAAACAACATTCTCTCAACAGCACTACATTCGTTCTACACCGTTGCTGTACAAGGTTAAAAATAATTATAAATAGATCATTAAAATGAATATGGCAACACTGTGCTACTTATACTTGGGCCAACAACATTGGGACAGTGAATTAAGTGCAGATATGGGGACATCGACTGATGGTTGAAATTGGTGTGATGAAATCCAAATCATTGGGTTTTGAAATGAATGCATTCAACATATGGAAAATAATGACAATCTTACACATTTAGTGTGTATGTTGTTTGACATCTATGGCCCAGTGTCGTTTCATATAAGCCTTTCCTGTAATCGTGACTAATATTGACTTCAATTGTTCGAGAGAGAATACATCCCTTATGTACAAGGTTGGCCTATGTCGCTTTAATTCACAACAAAATAATTGCTTTGCGTTCAACTAAACAGGCCCAAATTTCACCCAAAAGTAAAAGTGAGAGCAAAACGAGATGAAATCGCAAGATTTTCCCAATGTCAAATAGGCGCCTTGGATTGATAAAGGTTGGGGACCGCTTGAGGGGACTCGAGGCTAATTCGTGCTTTCGGCATCCGTGTATCTGCAGGGTGCGCATTGAACCATTTTTTCCAGTTTCTTCCACATTCCAAAAACATATTTTTCAGGTTAATTGAAGACTTTCAATAGTCTGTAGGTGTGAATGTGAGTGTACATGGTTGTTTACCAATATGTACTCTACAAATATACCCCACGTCTTGCGCAGAGTCCACCGGTGATCCAGCTCACTTATAACTGAAAAGGATAAGCAGTAAAGAAAAAGGAGAGATGGCTAGACAATTTCCCATTGCACAGCAGCTCATCCCTCATCTCAATCAACTTAAAACCAAGTTTTGTCCCCAAACCAAGCTTTTTCAACGTACCATTACACCCCTATTAATTACATAGCGGCTGCAGCTATGGCATGCTACTTACGCACCTGACCTGAACCGTAGTGTGTGGACCGCTAAACCTGAACGTTTGTATCCAGTTACTAAACTCATGCCGCAACATATCCCAACATGTCAGGTCGCGTTAGTTACAGCGACAGGTACACTGGACCATCGCACTCCGCGTTGGACGCCGGGGTCTCTAGTTCCTGTTTGCGTTCTTCAGTCAGTTTTGGCAGAGCTGCCATTAGACCTCGTCTCTTCATGGACTGAATGTTGTTGTGGACAAAATACTTGACTTCCCTCCATGTACGGCTATTCAAAGCCGGCTCAGCTGCCAAGCACGCATCGCAGTCCTTTTTTCCCGGCACTTTAGCCAGTTTGCACAAGTCTCCAAACTGCCGCCGGACGGCTGCCTGTTCCTCGGTGCTCCACAACCTTTTGTGCCTCTTCTGGGGTTTCGTTGTAGACGGCGTTTGTTTGTGCGAAGACTTTTGTTGAACTGAGGATGTTGGCGCAGCCTCGTCGGGAATGCCGCCTCCGTGGACCGTCGGGACCACCTGCGCACTCATGGAAGTCCTCGGCTGACTGGTCGGGTAGGAAGGCACAGTGGAGGGATTTAGGGCTGTGAAGGAGGACACCATCATCTCGCTTCGGTCACTAAAGGCCGAGGAGAAGGCAGAAGAGAAGGCCGGGACCATGGGCGAACTTGGGGAGTTTAGCGTTGTGAATGTGGGGAGCATGGAGGTGCTGGGAACATCGAAACTGGGAAGCATCGGGGGGTTTAAAGGGTCAGCGTAGACCGGGGCAGGCATATTTGAGGTATTTGGCGAATAAGGAGGAGCCATTGGATGGATACTATTGGTTTCCGAAGCGTATACGGGTGACATGAGTGCACTGGTGGTGCTGAGCGGTGTGAACGTGGGCACCACTTGAGTGTCTGTGGCGTTCAGTGGCGTGAGTGTGGACATCAGCGGCTGACTGGCGTGGATCAGATTTGCATTTGGAGAACACAAGGACATGTAGCTTAAAGACATCTCTGGGGTGTATGGATTCGGCGGCACCTGCGGCGGTGGCGCCATGCAACAATTTGAACTCTCTCTCAGGTGGTCCGGAAGCCCCGATGACAAGCTACAACCCGCCGACGCGTCATCCAAATGTCTCCTTTGGACTTCCTCGATCAGTTTCTTTGGCTTTGCAGCTCTGCCTTTCCCCGCCTCCTTGTGCTGCTTACTACGCCGACGCATGGTCTGGATGCTGTTGTGCACGTAGTTTTTCACATCGGTCCAAGATCTGCCAGCCAGATCGGGTTCAGCGGCGATGCAGGCGTTACAGTCCTTCTTGCCGGGAACCTTCATCCTTGTTATAAAATCACTCATGCGATGTTTGACGGCGGCCTGCTCACATTCGCTCCACGGTCGCCTCTTCGGGACGGCTTTGGGTGGCATTCCTAAAAAAACAAGACATCAATTGGTTGGCAAAACTTGAAAGAAAAAGATCTGAATATGGAGAACAAACTCGCACTTCAATGGAAGGGACCCATGGAACGAGCAGCGCACTTATGAGAGAAGCCCACGCAAGTTCTTGCCATCCCCGCAGTTATTGTCAGATTGCGCATTGGAAATGCGGCTTACAGTATCTTTGCAATGCATGAACACTAAAAGAGGCTCACCGTTGCTGACCATGTTGGCTGGAATCGGCCGTCGCGTGCGGTCCAACTGGAGCAAGTGTTTACTGGCCTCCTCCAATAACGATGCATTTGTGGACAAGGCGAAGCACTCCTGGCTGCTCTTTCCGAGCAGCCCGGCCACTCGGTCCAACTCGCCCTGGCGGAGGCTCATGAGTTGCCAGCAGCAGGCGATTTGCTCCCTGAGCACTGGTGACAAGAGTGCTTCGGGGTTCCTCACGCCGCATTCCACCGCCGCCCTACGGAAGCAGTCCAGCCCTCGGATGAAGGAGTGCCCTTCAGTTCGGGCAAAGAGGTACGGGTTGCTTCTGGACACCCCAGCATCTTGGCGATTTTCCACCAGCAGATCCAGTGACAAAGTCATCTTTTCGGTGAGCAGGACAAGCATGTTCCTGCCAAACTGGCCTTCCAGTTCCACACGAGTGAAGTGCCCGCAGACCTCAAGTTCCAGTTTGTTGCATTTCTTGATTTGATCAGCCGAGGGCACAAAAGCACCCCAGAGCTTTTTGCTGGCGTATGTTTGCAAAAGAAGCCGACCGATGTTACCAACACGCGTCCGGTTGAAAAGGCAAACATCGGCTAGCGTGGCTTCGCTTAGCTTCTTCCAGTTTGCCACGCTGGGATTGTGCCTCAGCTCCCGTCTGGCTTCATCACCCTCATCGGCGATGAACCGGTGGAGTTTAATCAGGTCCTCCGTCACGCCGGCCGCGTCTACCTCTGCCCTCTGGACCTCTGTTTTGGAGGTTGAGGGCGCTAAGGACCTACGAGAAAAGCGTTCGCTCCATTTCGTATCTAGTAACTGTATGAAGGCCCTCACCTCGCCCTCCGTCAGCCTGTCTTCGGTCATGCGACTCTCGCCGAAGGCTATCTCGGCAGCCCGTTTCAAGGAGTAGCCAATTTTGGACACCAGGGAAAAGGTTTTGAACCGGCTGCAACTGGGATCAAAGCCGCTGGCTTTTTTGGCGCCCTCCACTGCCAATTCGAACCTGGATGGGAGGCACAGTTGATGCAGGTAGCGCACGCTGCCATCCAGCTCTTTGATGGCGATCATGAACCGGCCCAGCTGTCGCATCTTCTGTCCAATGTAGGCAAACTGAGACTTGTCGTGGCCATACTTCGCTAATAAGGTGCTGCCAAATTTGCAAATGAGTGGGTCATGGACAATGTGCCGGGCGATGTCGTCCTGGTGCATGGTGTGGATGATCTCCCTGCAGCCGTCTGTCAAGAATTCTGACCTAGGCAGTAGGAGCGAGGCAGGGCTCTGCTCTGCAGTCTTCACGTTGGGAATTTCGGAAGATTTGTCATCACCCTTCCTGGCTTGGCAAGAGCGCTCGTGACGCCACAGGTCGGTCTTGCGGTAAAAGGTGAAGCAGTGCTGGCAAGGGAGAAAGTCTCGGACACATATTTTAGTGGTCTTCACCTCTGTCTGTGTGACAACTTCCTTGTCTCCTCCTTTTCGGAGAGCTTTGGCACGTTGCTCGTAATTGCCGTTGTCGCGGATTTGATCCAGCAAGGTCTGTCTGACTTTGGAGCCTTTTGGGAAGTGAATGGCATGGGACACGTCTGTTTCCTTGCCGTGTTTCTTCTCCAAGTGCTTCTCCAATTGGCTGAAAGGCATTTGGCAGTAGAAACAAAAGTGCTTTTTACATGGTTCCTTATCCTCTTCTTCATCGGTGCTGGATTCCGGATGAACAACCTTCCTGCACATCCGTTGACTGGAACGGATCGGCTGTTTAGCTTCGATGGTTTTCCTCCGGCAGGATTTTGGCACTCTGCCGTCGTCTGTTATCGTCTCCTTGGATGAAATTGAGACTAAATTGGTTGTTTCCTCACTCCTGTCAGGTTCGACAGTTTCTCCCGCTCGGTCGCAGTCCCTTCCGTCTGCCGTTCGGTCCGAATTGTCATCTTTTGGGCCCTCGGGCTCAAGAGTTTCTGGTCCTTGACCCGAACTGCCCTCAGATTCCGGCACATCTTTCTGGAGGTTTTCATTCCCGCTGGCAGTCCTGTCCTCTTGTGGTCCATTTAAAAAGGTTGACACAAAAAGAGTTTCTGTTCCTTGACCCGAACTGCGCTCTGATTCCAGCGCACCTTTCTGGAGGTTTTCATTCACGCTGGCAGTCCTGTTCTCTTGTGGTCCATTTAAAAAGTGAGACATAAAAATCCCATCCCTTGGACTCCTCTCGTCAAATGACCTCTTCGCAACCACTGTAGTACAAGCCTGCAAGAGAACAAGTAGACGTATAAGACTGGCCGCCAAAACCAAAACCTGCCGTGTCTCTCAACTGGCCGCTGCCACTTCAACAATCATATGCACATGTCCCCGCGGTCGTGTGACTGCACCAGCACCTTGGCGTTGCCCCGCAAACGCTAACGCCCGAAGCTCATTCAACCAGGCTCGCTCAATGTGACCCCAAAATAAATCCAACCAAAAGCAACACACCTCTAACAATCGTCAGTAGAAAGACCACGTCACCCATTCAAGGACAAGTTAATGGCTTTATTGGATCAAGCAGCGCGTTGACACGGTCCAACCGACAAGCTTGTCATTGACGTGATGGGATGCTGACGATGAAATGGACAGAATAGAACATTTGGGTGTCCTTTTTGTTGTTTTGACTTTAGCAACTACAGTCTGTGTTTATCAAGCTAGGATTCCGAGGATGATGGGTGATTGGTGCATGGCACATGTGCTACATGATTATGGAAGATGATAAGTGCTCTTATATGATGTGTACCTGCTTCTTGTCCACTTTCTTGAGTCTTGCTCAGACATCTTGGTCGCCTGAAAACACAGATAGCGTCAGAGAGTTCCTACAGACCAGCATTGGATGGATATGATTTGAGGAGGTAGGATAGAGTGTTAGCAGCTGTAAATATGGTTGAAAGCTGACAGTTGCGGCCCGTCAAACAGACTTACGAGTCCTATCGGTCATGCATTACAAAAATGTGAACCTCGCCTGTCAACCTGCAAATGTGTTTATATACAGTTGTCTCCAGAGTAATAGCAGGGCGCTTAAGGAATCCCTAAAGTATTAATTCCTATACAGAAAGTGAATAGAAAAAAATAGCTGCGTTGTGTCATTACAAATCTCCATATTTACTTTTTTTATACCGTTTAAAATGGCAGCGCAAAAAGAAATTGTGGAATCTAGTGCAAAGGCATTTGGCTAAGATAGCCACTTTGGTGGACTTCATGCAAAAAAGTTTTAAGCACTTATCTCAAAAGAGTATGTAAAAAAAGTAAAAATTAGTTTGGGTGAATAACAGGAGAGCAAAACGTAATTGGACTGGACTGGAATATGGCCTCTGTGGGACACAGATGTGAAGCTGTTTTCTGGAACAGCCCATCATCAACTCAATATAAGGTCTGTGTGACTCACAGTAAAGCAAAAAGAACTTGTGGAATGTGGTCCAACTGTCCTGGGTTGTAAGAGCAGGTCACGAGTTGACTTCATGCAACACAGAGGTGAAGAATTTGTCTGAAACCGTGCTCAAACAGGTAAATATCAATGTAGTGATTCCCAGGCCAGTGTCCGATGGTCCTGGACTGGAATAGAAGTTCCAAGTTGGAGTACACGCAACAAGGATGGGGTTTTGTTTTTTTCTAAAACCGTGCTTATACTAGAAAATGAATTCAGTGAGTTTGCTTCATGGACTATTTTCTTCATTTCACTTTCAGGAAAAACAAATAATACATTTGATCTCATTTTGGAGTTTTTTTTGTCCTTTTGTTTTGCTATTGGTCTGAAAACAACCTTACGTGGAATACATAGCTTTGTTATCAAGATGTTATCAATTAAAAAAAAAGAAACAATAACAACAACAAATGCTCTTACCTGGAATTGTCGAAGTGAAGATAAAGACCTTGGACGGAGTTGATGGAAAAGTGACAAATGTACCCAAAATATGTCCTGTGGGAATTGCTGTTTCGTCCTTAAAAATCACAACCAGAACTGATCTTGCCAAAAGCGAAACTTTGACAATGAAATGACTGGTAATAATCATTCATTGTTGTTTAGGCCATTGAAAAACACAAAAACAACAACAACAAAAAAAAAAAGCATCCGCTTGCTATCAAAGTAGCTGCAATGAACCATATTCATGCCAAATTTGACGGGACAAAAATGCACAGCATGAACCCACTCATTCACACACCGGCAGGGCAACCAAGGTGCAAAGTGCTGAATCGTCCTACACTCATGTCCAGAGCCAGAGGCAGACCGATAATATCAATCCAAGATAACCAGAAGCTAAAATAAGCAAAAACAGTCATTTTAGTCTGTTGCTGATGTGCTCATTTTTTTTCTCTCACTGACTTCATTGGATGAACTCAAAGTCGGTGTGTGTGTGTACAATTTTTGAGGATTCATTGATTTACATGAGACCGACAGAACTTTCAAAGCCGATTCCAGTAATCTCAGTGTAATTTTCTGAAACCCAAAGTCAGCGGAGACATACTACAGCACCCAGCGACCTCGAACAGGATAATTGGTATTGAAAATGTATAAATGAATGACATTTAGGTGTTCATATGCCAAATGCTTGGTACGCAAATGCACTGTGATACACTTGAATCTGGTTCACATGTATTATATTCAATGCGCATGCACGCCACTTATGAACACCCTTGTTTTTAAATAGAAAAGGGTATTATAAATGAATGTTAAAAAAAGGAAAATAAAAAGTATTATTGAGCCAATAGAAAGAGCAATTTTTGAAAAATATTAGGAAACATTAGAGACAAATGTTAAATAATCCCAAATTGTTGAAAAGTCTACAAAGATTAAAAACACTGAATTATAATATTAAAAAAAAAAATCACATATGAGGCAAATTACTCAAATAGTATGGAAACAGGAAAAAATTGGGGTAAAATATATTGTGACAAAACATTTTGAAATAATGGTGACCGAGTGAAACATTTACTCAAAAAGAAAAATGCCAACTGTGAAAATATGAAAATGATTACAAAAACAAAAATAAATTACATAAATAGAATGACAAAAAGGCAAAGTTGGGCCAAAAAAAGAATAATGAAAATATGTACAAATATTTCAGAACTGGAATTAAAAACAAAGAAATAATATATGAAATGATATATTAAGTATTAAAATTGAATAAAACTAACAAAAAAAAATCTAAACCAAAAACATCTAAATTGTGAGGGTAAAAAAATATACTAATATTAGGGGGAGATGATAGACAGAAAAACTGTCAGAAAAATAGAAAATGTTTAAAAAAAAAACTGTGCATTCAATTATTTTCCCGTGGAATAGTGATAACGTGCTCAAATGAACACTTGTCTCTGCGCTTTGTCTTTACTTTATGGATAAATCTTACCTCCTGATCCAAGTTGTACTCCTCTTTGGAATTGAGCGCCAATTTCACCGCCACGTAATCTCCGCTTTTCACGGCATCTCGCAGCTCACCTAGAAAAGGTGGGATATAGAAGTCTTTTTTACAACACTCACACCCTGCATGCTAACAGCTAAAATTCTGCGTGGACTTAGGATGCTCATTCCAGATCAGCTCGGTGCTTGTATGGATAGGTGCTATAGTGCTACAGAGAGAGCGAGGATGCTAACATGCTAACACATGCTAACACTGCAAGTGTGTTCAGAATGCACAAAAGGAGCTAGTAAGAATTTGACATCTTAACCTGGAGTTGGGTCGCATTTGTCATTTCATATTCATGTCATTTTTCAACTGAGAGTTGATCAAACGCTAACATGCTAAAGGTGGACATGCTAATATATTGCAAGATACATGAAAGAATTTTACAGAAAGATCTGGCGCTATTCAAAATGACAACTGGTAAGATGCTAACAGCGGACAAGTGCAAAGACTCACTGGGTGATAACGGAGGGCCCGACAGGATCTCGTCATCTCCGTTCAGATGTTTCTGGAAGTCGTCCAGGGTCATCCAGTCCAGGTTGAGATCCATTCCCAAACTCAACGTGGCCGGAGCTTTGTCTGTTTGTGCGAGTGGGAAAAGACACTTTACACATAAACCCACTTCAGCGTCCATACAACAGTGTCGCTTTTTGATTGGATCTTTCAAGGAATTTACAGGAGCGCAACTTTATATTCACCACCCTGAGGGGAACTATTAAAAAGGTAAACACATTACCAGTAGTGCAACTTTTTTGTATTAATTACCAGGAACAAAACTCTGCATCAGTGAGCAGGAATGGAACTTCGTTTTACTTCCACGAGAGGAAACTTTTTGCATTAATTACCAGGAACAGATTTCTGTATTCACTTGTAGGAATGGAATTTTGTTTAATTAAACCTTGCATACATTGTTATGAGCTGAACCTTTTAATTGTTTACCAGATTTTGTATTAATTACCGAGAGCGCAGCTTGTGTTGTTTACCAAGAGTGGAGCTTTTCCTGTATAATGGAATTAAACTTTGTACTAGCTACCGGCCAAAATGACACTTTTCCTTTATAACTGGGGATGGAAGACTGTATTGATGACCAGGGTAGAACTTACAAGTGGAATTTGTATTGATGACCAGGAGGGGAACTTTGTGTTAATTACTCGGTGTAGGTTTTGAACTTGACACAAATTTCCACTGGTGAGGATCAGTATTCATGACCAGGAGTCTAACTTAGTCTTAATTACAAATAGTGGAACTTTGTATTTATTCCCACTAGTCTCACTCTTGATGAACGACCTGGGTTGAAAATGTGAATGTACCACAAGGAATGGAATTTTTGTATTAATCGTTATTTTATTTTTACAAGATTTGTGTGTTGTCCAAAAAATGGCACTGAATTTAACGTAACGCAAATCTTAACGCAACACACTAAGAACCTTGAAAAGGGCAAAAAGTCCACCAACACAGATTTTGATCACAGAATTTATTTGTAAGAACTTGTAATAAAAATAATTCATCAACCAAAAACGACTGAAACTAGTAACATAACTTGTTTTTCCTATTTAACAATTCATACAGAGGGTCTGTGAGTGTTTTTTATCAACTCCAATTCCAGTTTGTACAAGTCTCTGAAGCTCTAAGTCGCTTTGCGCAGAGGCCCACATTGTTTGCGCTTTGGCACAAAACACGTTCCATTTTGTTGTCCTGATTGCTGCTGCGCTTCCTCCTGCAAAACTTTGACAGGCGCTCATCTCCGCCTTCTCTTCTCCATTTCAGGCAAAATTAGGCTATTGGCTACCTCGTTAAGAAAGAGCCGCCTCTTGAAGGATTTCGTTTGGTTCCATTCAGGGTTAATAGTGGTGAAGAGAACAAATGCATTATAGCATGAAACATCCAGCATATGATAGAATAAGCACATTGCCCATCTCACTCCCAGCTGTCGGCAGGAGTACGTGGCACAACGCTGCAAATACACACGCATAAAAAACAAACAAAAAAAAAACAAACATTAGCTGACATCAGACAACAAGACGGCTTTGAGAAAGCGAGAACTTGATATGCAAAACCTGCGCTTACCTGGTCCAGGCGATCCACAGCGCCTTTGCAAATGTTATAGTCATGAATGATTTTGGGCATATTCTTTTTCTCCTTCATGAGCTCGGGTTCCCGGTGCTTGGTGCTCAGAAACAGGACATTTTTGCCCCTGCTCGGGATGAATGAGACCAAAGTCTGCTCTGCTCTGAAAGCAAAAAGGCTGGAAAAGACCCGTCTGTCTGTCATGTTCAGAAGTTGCGGTGGAAGCTGCGGCTTATTTTTTCGAATTCTTCCCACCAAAGCCATCCGTTTTTTGTTTAATTCAGCAGCCAGGGCAAAAGAAGTGAAAAATTTATCTGTGGTCACCGTGTGGCCCTCCAGTGTGTCACACAGCTCCAAAACCACCCTCATTCCCTGTTGCTTTTCTCGCTTGCCCCCGGGAGGCTTCCCAGTGTAGACTTGCATGTTCCAAGCGTAAGAGGTAGCAACGTCGCAAACGGTCCATATTTTGATGCCACGACTCACCGGCTTCGACGGCATATACTCTTTGAAGGAGCAGCGGGTGAAACAAGGCACCAGCATCTCACCGACGCATATCTCCCTATCCAGATTAAACATTTTGGGCACCAGGTCGTTCCACATCGTCCAAAGGTCAATGATAGGGGCCAGTTTGTTTGATTCTTGCTGCCTGCTGGGTGTGTCGCAAAATCGAAGGGCGCCGTTGATCTGACAGAAGCGCCAATGGGACATCGTGTCAACAAACATGGCTCGTCCAGGGTTTTTGCGCCATAAGTTTGACAAATGTTGTGACTTGAACAGCCCTGCCAGGATCAGCAGCCCCAGGTAGGCGCGAAGCTCCGCGACAGTCAGGGTCTTCCAGTTGAGTGAACTGGATCTATGGAGGTTTGTCATTTTCACGATATGGGCTAGGATGTCCTCGTTGAAAAATAGATTGAAAGCAGACTCGGGGGTGGTGATCCTGGCGATGGCGTAAAGAGTTGGCCCGGGGGTAAGAATGGGAAAGGGGGTAAAATGTGTGGCTGTTTCATGAGTGGCAGCCCACAACATTTTATTTTTCGAGAGCCACTCGCTGACCTCCTCCGTTCCATTATTTTCGACCTCATTCCTGCCACCATTGCCGGCATTGTTTTCAACCTCCTCCTCATCCTCCTCACAATCGCCATCGGAGGAGGAGGAGAAGGCGCAATGTTGATAAATGTCGTCTTTGTCCAATGCGTCCTCAGCATTCTTTAAAAGACCGCCTGAGAGAAGCTCGTCTTCAGAAGTCTTGAAAACTGAGTGACGCGCATCCTCCGGGTAAATGCGTCTTCGTGTCACTGTGAAGAAAAAAAACTAAGCTGAACAGACGGAGCTCATATAAACTACCCGGAAAATGCCCTCAACCAATTCAGGATTTTATTTTATTTTTTTAAACGCCCAAGAGAACTTCAGCCAGCCTGTGAACATGCGTGTGCACAAGTAGATACCGTAAATTCCGGGCTACAGACTGCACCTGATTAAGAGCCGCATGCTCAGATTTATGAAGAAAAATCAATTTTGTAATTATATGCGGCGCACCATATTGTAAGCCCCTGGCCAATGAGTAGGCGGGGGTTTGCTTCTGCGTCCCTGCCGCCGGAGCGCCTCCGGGTGAGGCAGCGGACGCAGTCCCCCGCTGAACCCCAGCAGAAAAAAACGCAAGATTTCTTAAGGTTAAAATAATCTCCATATTTTTACGAGCATGATAAATGCATTTGCACAACGAAATTACGCTGAAACACATAATAAGAGATTGAATGAATGTATAATACAATAAATGTCGAACATGAACAAGCCGTCTGGACGTCTGCGCCGTAGTTAAATAGCAATTACCGTAAATTCCAGGCTACAGACCGCACCTGATTAAGAGCCCCATGATCAGATTTATGAAGAAAAATCAATTTTGTAATTATATGCGCCGCACCGTATTATAAACCGCTGGCTAATGAGTAGGCCGGGGTTTGCTTCTGCGTCCCTGCCGCCTGAAGCGCCTCCGGGTGAGGCCGCTGACGCGGTCCCCCGCTGATCGCCCGCAGAAAAAAAAACGCAAAATTTCTTCAGGTTAAAATAATCTCCATATTTTTATGAGCATGATAAATGCATTTGCACAACGAAATTACGCTGAAACACATAATAAGAGGCCAGACAAAGAGAGATCTTGATGCACATTTGCATAATTATGAGGAGAAATACTGCTACCCACTAGGCTTTCAATAGAATAATGCAGTCACCTTTTTTATTTACAGTCCGAGTGAGAGGCAAATCAAATGTCAGAGGGTCTTCGTCCATATTTATTATTTCATCCGGGCTGATGGAATTCTCCGCAATCTTTGTTTGTTTGAATGTGCGGAACGAAGCAAGTTTGTCCTCGTAATTGGGAGGGAGCTGCTGACACAACGTCGTGCGTGCCCTAATAGACAGGCTTTTCCGTTTCATGAATCTATAACACCACGACGGCCCACCTTTAAAAGCTTTGGTTGTCTTTTTACACTTGCTCAGTTCTTCTTGCCGGAGCCTCCACCTTCGCACCATCGACTTGTCTATGCCAAGATTACGGGCAGCAGCTCGATTTCCTTTTTTAACTGCCAGAGTGATCGCTTTGAGTTTAAAAGCTGCATCATATGCTTTTCGTCTGGTATTCTCCATGTTGATCAGGGTTAGAAGAAAGACTGAAATATGGAAGTTGTGATTACCGGTAATCATACAATTCCATTAGACCCCTGTGTACGACTCATTCATTTTATTGGTCGACTGTTGCCGAGTAACATGGTCCATGTTTTTCCTGCGATGGGAAAAAAAAAAAATTAAAAAGCCGCTTCATATTACACGCCGCAGTGTTGAAAGTGTGGGAAAAAAAGTAGCGGCTTGCAAATCGGAATTTACGATATATATATATATACAGTAAATATTCCCATCCCCAGAATTCTATGAAAAGGAATTTCCTTCAACCGTCCGGAATTTACGGTACATTACAGCGCCAGCTCTGTTTTATCCAAATTATTTATTTTAAAACGACTATTCGTTAGTTTAGTATCCGCACATCGCTTTAGTATACATTTTTTTAAAACATATATTGATTTAAAAAAAAAAAAAGGCAGCGCGAGAGAGAAGCCCGACCAAACCCGAAGCAATGATTGACGTTTGAGGCCGATCGGGCTCGGGCTCAAGATCTTAGTTCTACTTGGGACACACACAGGCCGCATGCATTTACATACCTTCACACACGTGACATGCACATACATACCTTCGCGCTCTGGGAATAAAACAGGTGCATGCAGAGACCGCGTGCGGAATCTTATAGGACTGAGCCCTGCTCAGGTCCGAAATGTCCGTCCGCTGGGCTCCCCATAAAGTACGACACAACACCAACGCAGACTGAAATATGTTTAAACACAACTTCTATATTTATAATGGGCTGCTGGGTTCCGCGAGTCCACTCGTTTTTAAGCCAAAAAAAAGGGAACTAATTCACGTCAATTTCTTACATAAAAACCCCAATGTTATTCTTCGGATATTTACACAGAAAGATATTACAGGTGAAGACGCTTTAAACTTTTTTATTCAATCCTCTTAGCATCAATAAATACGTACGGCTACCCTGAAATATAGCACACAACTGCATTGTACGATATGGGTTGCTGAAGCTTTTTTTAATCAACAGTTCACAGACAGTATTCAAGTTTCTTCTAACACGTATAACTTAATAACGTATCTTCTTATCACATATACCACATACCGCATCCTATAGAAAACGTCACTCATCCCCTTCATCATTCTCCTGCGCACTAAAACCATCAAAGTCCTCCAATTCAGTGTCTGAATTAAACAGCCTCAGGATCTCATCACCCAATGGGCCCACAGTCTCCTCTCTTTTGATGTCACTCGAGTGCGCAGCGTCTTCTTCCTCACGCAGCAACCCAGCCTTTCGGAACCCATTGGTGATGGTTGATGTTTTGACACGGCTCCACGCACGTAAAATCCACTGGCAGACTTGAGTTAAAGATGCTTTGCGCGTATGTCCTGTTTTGGTGAAGGATTTCTCCCCGGCTGTCAACCAAGTCTCCCACTCTTGACGCAGTGCCACCTTAAATGCCCGGTTCACGCTGATATCCAGTGGCTGTAGATATTTAGTGGTACCTCCAGGAATCACAGCTGGAATTGAGTTTGTGCTCTTGATGGCGGCTTTCACAGAATCGGTTATATGGGCCCTCATGCTGTCCATAATGAGCAATGCTTTTTTTCGGTGAAAAAATCCCCCCGGTCGCTTTGAGTAGCACTCTGTGAGCCATTCCTTCATTAGGCTCTCGGACATCCAACCTTTGTGATCGACTTTCACCACGATTTCCTTCGGGAATTTTTCCTTTGGCATTGTCAGCCGCTTAAAAATGATCATGGGTGGCAGCTTTAGGCCCGATGCTGCGCAGCTCAAAACACAGGTAAAATGTGTTCTCTCGTGGCCGCCTGTTTTCAGTATGACGGAGGAGTCACCTTTTTGATTTACAGTCCAAGTGAGAGGCAAATCAAATGTCAGAGGGACTTCGTCCATAATTATTATTTCATCTGGGCTGATGGAATTCTCCGCTATCTTTGTTTGTGTGAATGTGCGGAATGAAGCAAGTTTGTCCTCGTAATTGGGAGGGAGCTGCTGACACAACGTCTTGCGTGGCCTAATAGAGAGGCTTTTCCGTTTCATGAATCTAAAACACCACGACGGCCCACCTTTAAAACCTTCAATGTTCATCTCTGTAGCGATAGTTTTAGCCTTCCGTCTGATTTGTACAGTGGAAACACTGCGGCCGCCTGCTCTTTGACTGTGAACCCAGTCCTCCAGAAAGTTTTCAAGCTCAGGCCATCTGCTATGGTTACCTCTGAAAGCTTTGGTTGTCTTTTCGCACTGGCTCAGTTCTTCTTGCTGGAGCCTCCACTTTCGCACCATCGACTCGTCGATGCCAAGATTACGGGCAGCAGCTCGATTTCCTTCTTTAACTGCCAGAGTGATCGCTTCTAGTTTAAAAGCTGCATCATATGCTTTTCGTCTGGTATTCTCCATGTTGATCAGGGTTAGAGGAAAGACTGAAATAAGGAAGTTGTGTGATTACCGGTAATCATACAATTTCATTGAACCCCTGTGTACTATTCATTCATTTTATTGGTCGACTGTTACCAGGTAACACATTTTTCCCGCGACGGCGAAAAGAGCGGAAGTTGTGATTAGTCATACAATCTCATTGGACCTCACTGAACGACTCATTCATTTTGTTGGTCCATGTTTTTCCCGCGATGGAAAAAAAAAAATTAAAAAGCCGCTTCACATTACACGCCGCAGTGTTGAAAGTGTGGAAAAAAAAGTAGCGGCTTGTAATCCGGAATTTACGGTATTCAGATCTGCACATGAACCGTTGGCGAAAGCAATAAGAGTTGAGAACAACACATGCATTTTTGAAAATTTGTGGGCAGACCTTTGTTTTGCCCACATGCACACAAAATATATTCATATGTGCAAAAAAATAAATAAAATAAAATAAAAATAAAAAAGCACTTGGTAATTAGCGTAATGGTATTATGGGGGAACACCGCATCACGATTGGTCGGCAAATGCACTCGTGCGTGGGGACTCGCGCGCACACCTCAGTATTTCCAAAAATTGCTGACAGTTTTTAGGGCATGAAATTGTAGTTATGTATCGGCATTGCTATGCAAGCAAACACCATTAGTCTATGGCGCCACCTGGTGGTGACGGGGGCTTAAAACGCTGAACGCAATTTTGAATTTTTTCCCCGTTTTTGAGCGGCCGCTGAAGGGAACCGATTCCGTCATCGCGGGAAATGCGTTGCAACACGTCAGGTTTACGGAACATTGAAAATTGCGATTCATAAAAGGGAGTCAATGTGCCAAGAAATGGACATTGAACAAGAACTGGTGTAAGTCTTCCTCTCTGATATGCCATAATTCAGAAACAGCAGCACGGTACCGCTTTGAACTTCTGCATGTTTTAACAACCCCGGTGGAATATCAGCGCCCGAGTGTTTTTTTTTCTCTCTCAATGCTACCTTTTTGATGTAACAAGTGAAAACCATCCAAATGCACAAAAGAAAGGTTCAAATAACCCCGCTGCGCGGAGTGACACTCACCGGATTTGTCAGTGGGCTCCGTTGGTTGCTGGTCCGCATGGTCATCAGACGCCGCGAGGGGTCGGGGCTCGCCGTCCTCCCTCTTCTTCTTCCTGTCTTCTGGCGGTCCCTTCGGTTCCCAGCCGGGCCTGGTCTGGCTCTCCTCTGGCTTCTCCCGGCGCTCACGGGAATAGTCTCCGGTTCTCGGCTTGCTCGACGCGTTCTCTCCTTCCAGCTCGTCGCTGTCCAGGCTGAAGCCGTACCCCTGGCCCGGTCTGGGGACGGCTGGGCGTACGGGAGACAAAGGCTTGACGTTATTTGGGGCGTATCGAACTTGGACACAAAAGACTACCGGGCTCTACCTTCGGGCTGCTTGGACTTTTCCATCCTTTCGGGTTCTTTCAGTGTCGGAGATTCTTTGACAGGCTTGATCTTCTCAATCTTCCCAAGGACCTGAAAGGGAACTTGGTATTAATTACCAGCAGTTTAATCACCAGAATTAATTTAATGAGATTGCCTTAAAAGAAGCATCAGGAATCGAGGATATGGCGAATTTTTTTTCTCCACAGCAACACCGGAAGACAAATTAAAACGCTTTCTCAGATTCATCAAAGGTTGCGAACAAAACTTTTAAAATCAAAGTTTTGCGAAAAGGTTAAATGGGCAAAATTCTTACAAGTTGTGTTCGAACGTGGCCCATTTGCGGTCTTGCTTTCAGAGGGGAAATTGGCAGTAGATTTGGGTATTGAAGGAAGAATATAGATGGTAGGTTTCCCAGATCTACCCCTCGCATGCTGTCGCAAACAAATGTTGAAAAGCTATTGTCAATTGCACCTTTTTCCAATCGTCTGTCTTGGCGAAGATAAAAAAACATTTATTCTGAACAAGTTCAAATGACAGTCGACTTTCGAAACAGTGCTTGCCTATGAACCGCTCTATAAATCACACAGCCAGTGAATAACAGTCACTTTCCTTTGACACAATTTGAAAAAGAAAAAAAAAAAAAACATGAGTTTCATCTTAATATGGACAATTCAATCAAACCTGGCGGAAAAGAAAAGAAATCCAGCATTTTATCCGTATCTGAATGACCCGAGCAACGTGCTCAAAGTTGGAACACGGCATTGCGGTGGGGAATGCAGAATTCCCGCGTCTGCGAACAACATAGCCAGCAAGCAGCTTGCAGTGATGATGTAGCGGGAACCGAGCGTTGTCTTCTTCTCCTACAAACGGAGGTCTAAGTGGAATGGGGCGAGCCGTTGAATTGTGATTGACCCTGAAGCTCTCACTTCTGCAGTCTCTCGTTCACAAATGACTGAAATCAACTACCGTTGTCCCAGTACAAAGACGAACACGGTGAGCCGTGTTAACGGCTACCGTCCAGTCACTCCAACAACCAACCTCACTAAATGTCAGGTCAAGGACGAAATAATCAACAGAGCATTTCACACACCTGCATAATGCTGACACCAATGTGAAGATTTTTCCGTTTGTGTCGTTCAACTGTGCATTTAACACAGCCTTTTCAAAATGAACTGCGTACAAAGCTGAGCTTACCTGGGCATTAGTGGTTCACCTGGATACCGGACTTCCCCAACAACAGACCCCAGGATGTCACGGTGGGAAACAACACCACCTCCTCCACTCATCGTGAACGCGGGGACACCTCAGGGATGTGTACTCAGTCCCCTCTATTCCATTTTTAGACATGAGTGCTCTCCCACTCAGACAATCATCGTCAAAGTTGCTGACGACACATGCCTTGTAGGACTGATCAGCAGCAAAGATTAAAAAACAAAAACAAAACAACGGAGGAGGACAAGCCGGCATCTCAGGCGTGAAATCAACGACCTGGACCTGAATACAGCCACGATGAAGGAGATGATCACAGACTTCTGGAAACGCAAGAGTATTGAGCGCACCGCCCTCAATGTCGATAGAGAGGAGGTAGAGACGATGGGAAGCTTCCAAGTTCCCCACATCCCGGCAAACAAATCCCATAGAGGGGAGGGAAAATACCCCAAGACATTAAAGTCGAGAACCATGAAATGCTAAAACAGCTTCTACCACCCGCAAGCTGTAAAATCAATTCGCCCCCCAAAATAATGACTCCACACTCTTTTCACACAAGTACACTACAATGAACAAAATCGGTACAATACTGTCCGATCAAAACCGGTACAACACCTCTTATTCAGGGCCCAGGTAACGCCCCAATCGGGGATCAACTTGCAAATGTCACATGACCAAACTCAGAAAACAGGCGAGGTGTGATTGGTCGGTACCTGAGCAACTGTGATGTCAATTTCAGTGGACACCAAGTAACAAAATACTCTTAACATGGCGGCGCGGCTACCTGCAGCGGCTTCTCTCTCTCCCCCGGCAAATCAGTGTTCTTCGCGTTGTTTATGTTCCTTGTTTTCACTGAGTAGCGTACCAAGGCGCGCATACCCTCGCGAGTTTCTGCTCGCCATCGGCAGAGCTAAAAAAACGGACAATAATCCAACAAAGGCGAACAAACTGCTTAACTGCGATCTGCTGCGTGACTGCGGTCTGCTGCGGAGGCCTGCTCAATCACCGACCCCCACTCCTGCAACCAGCCCACGGTGGAAGCGCCATCGACGGAATCTCAGGAAGCAGAAGAGGGGGAAGCGCGGAGGTATCCGGGCTAGGCTAGCAGCTAGTCCTCATCGACCGGCGATCCCGACAATCACGCTGGCCAACGTACGCTCGCTGGACAACAAACTGGACTATATCCGCTTACTTCGGACATCTTCCAAAACCGTGAGTGACTGCTGCGTTTTTGTTTTCGTGGAGACATGGCTCAACGACAGTGTACCGGACTGGGCTATTCGGCTAGCTGGGCTAACGTGCTGCCGAGCAGACAGAGAGCTCGTCGAGGGGGGGAAGACTCGCGGCGGGGGAATCTGTGTTTACATCAACGATGCCTGGTGCCGTGACGCTGTTGTGGTTTGCAAGCGCTGCTCACCAACCTTGGAGTTTATGATCATCAAATGCCGGCCATTCTACCTGCCGAGGGAATTTAGTGCCATATTGCTGGTTGCAATATACATTCCCCCTGGCTCAACCAACAGCAGGAGTATGGCTCTGGCTGAACTCCATCAGTACATCAGTGAGCAGCAGACAGCCCACCCCGACATCTTTCTCATCTTGGCTGGAGACTTCAATCACGCAAACCCCAAGAGCGTGCTTCCACAACTACATGGCCACATCAACTTTCCCACAAGAGGCAAAAATATTCTGGATAACGTCTACACCACAGTCAGAGGATCCTACAAAGCCCTCCCCCTCCCCCACCTTGGTGCCTCAGACCACACCACTGTGATGCTAATGCCAGCATACAGGCCACTGGTGAAAGTCATCAAACCAGTGAGGAAGCAACTACGAGTGTGGCCTGAGGGTTCCACAGAAGCACTCCAAGACTGTTTCTTCACCACAGACTGGAGTGTATTCAAACACGCAACAACTGACCTCAACGAGTACGCGGAGACCGTCACGTCCTACATAAGGAAGTGTATGGATGATGTCACGGTCACCAGAACCATTACCATCGAAGCCAATCAGAAGCCATGGCTGACAGGTGAGGTCCGCAGGCTACTAAGGGCCAGGAACACCGCCTTCAGAGCTGGAAATGTGGTGGGCCTCAGGACTGCCAGGGCCAACCTGTCACGAGGCATCAGACTGGCCAAAAGACAATACTCAAGGAGGATTACAGACCAGTTCAAGGA